TTCCCTTAAGTGTGGTCACGATTGGATGATGGAATCGACATCAATATCCCATTGCAGCAAGCGTCCGACCAAAAAAAGCGCGAAAAGGTATCTATGATTTGTTAACTAATCGTTACCAAAGATACTGAACTCTTAATATGACCTGCAGAAGTTGATAACTCCGTTTCGTAAGGCCTCATGAAATCTTTACTCACAATGTCAAAAGTCGAAATACAAACATGAAACGCGGCAATGCCTCGGAGTTTTGATATAACGTCGCCAATATTCCTCTTTGGAACTGCTTTGTATGATATACCTTTAAGATAATGGTTTCAGGTCGTTGGAGTTCATATATTCATATAATTTGTCTCATTCGAATGAAAATATACGTTTTAATATTTCTGCGATATTAGGATAAGTCCTGCTGACGGTGCGTTCAGGTCAGCGCTCGATCCCAATTAATATGGTTTCAAAAAGCACCACACTGAAACCGACATTAATGGGAGCGTCCCACCCTTAGGCTACGTTTCAAAAACATAACCCAATGAAACCTCAGGGTTAATTAATTTTAATGATAGCACTGGGTAGTGCTACTGCAGCACCTTCAAGACATAATAAGGGTATGAATGTTAATTATTTTCATGTTTTAATTACGCCGACAGCGCTTTGTACCAGCACTACGCTTCTTCCCTGCAGCCGCGAGCACTGTCGTCATGACAACCACCGTGCGCCCCTCTACTGGTACGAATAAAACAGTTTGCAGTTACAGTTACGTAGCAGACAAGGGCTTGTTAGTGAAAAGTTGGTTGGTGGGAGCTTGAACCAGTGCGTCACATTGATCATGTGATGCTCCAATTCGCAAAGCCATAGTGCGCCTCGAAGAGAGCCACTCTGGTAAACCCTGGGGAAGAAATTAAAGCCACAATATAACGCTTCGTTGAATTCGCGTGACAATAACTTCATGTTCGCACATCTTTTTGTCTAAACACAGTGTTTCAAGCTTCCGTAGCATTTATTTTAAGAACATTTTGGTAGAATGGTGTGTTGCATGTCTTACATAACCCGCACGTTGGAAACGGAAAGCAAATTAAATGCATTACTGTCATAGTGGTGTGCAGGGATTCAAATGAGATTTATCACTTAGGACCGGCTATTTCAAATAAAAAATCTAAGCCTTTTAGGAGGATTTCTAGAAAGCTGGCATTACTGCTCAAATCGCACGGGTATAATGTAACATTAAGCGTAAGGTACAACAAGTGTGATACACTACTTCATGCGTAAAACTTAAAAGTTAATGCTTAATATATTGAGACGAACGGTCATTCTCAGTCATCTGATTTTAAGTGAGGACTGAGGCTCCTGCGGTTGCAAACGATGCCATATAAAAACATTTTTCTTTTAAAGATAGTATTGTCCTTTGGGATGTTGACTGTGTGGTCCAATTACAAGCAGGAAAATGAGAGCCTATGGATCTTTGAAACCGTGTTTGATTCTCATCCTTCGCAAATCACGCTTTGCTTGCGATCTTCCTTGCATAGCAACTTGTTACGTCAGTGATTCACTACCCTCTAGGCGTTCTTCCTGTGTTTTACATACGAAAACAACAGGTCTTTGAATTTGAATTCTTGAGGTCTTTGGAACTATTGGTATGTCTTTAAGAACAAAAGTCTGCTCTAGACGAACAAAATTGAGTATTAAGTACATATGCCACCCAATACACCGTGGTTTGACCGCGTTATGGAGCGTTTGTATGACGTTCGAGGGGCTGCCAAACTGGCCGTTCAAAATGTCCACCCCGACCGCATGGCCTGACTCACTCGTAGTGTTTCAGCTTTTCGAGAGGTGTCGTGCTAAAGGGTGCGGCGTTGCCATAACTGAAATATCGTTGTGCGTGCGTGCTTTGGTCCTTTCTCGTTATATTCTTGCATATTACGTCATGCTTGTCTATTATTACGGCTGTTCTTTCTCGTTGCGTTTATGTTTACGCTGTTATCTTATAGTGTTGCCTTGCATTCACATACTTGGTCATGACGTATAATAGCGCACGGCGAAACTTACTGGACTATGAGCCTTGTTTCCGCAATAACTAGTACGAATGTCCTGCTTCCGGTATAATGTATCACAAAACGTGATTTGCTTTTGAAACTTGTACTGAATGCATAACGTTGTTCGGAACCCAATTAAAATCTGTTGGTTGAAATCGTGCTCACGCACATTTAACACGAACAAGACCCCATCTAACTCGACGAATATATTGGTTTTGGTCTTAAACCGCGCATGACCAATGAGGTGGCAGAATTTTAGTGACATCTATATGACTCATGCATGTCTGGATGACCTTGTGTCATGACCTTGAAATAGTTCGCACCAAACTACCCCGCTAATCGTCACGGGCGTCTAACTCAGAAATTAGATGGTTTTTAACTCCAAAATCGGATTTCTCCCGGATTTTGGCCAGATGAATTTGCGTCCTTCATGAAATGTTTTTTTCTAAAAAAAAAATGATTTTTCGTATATTCCAAGTTGTTTCTCCTGCGGAGGAATGACTTCCCATTTCAAGGTAATGTGAGCTGCTTTTGTGCGAAAAGCTCCAAAAAGCGAATAATTCAAATAAAACATCCCAGTAAATATAAGAAATGGATCACTGATGTCTACCGCAGTCGCTGATCTTGCAGAACCATTGCAGCCACGATTGTGCGACGATGCACTGTCGTTCTTATCGGCCTCAGCTACAGCCGGCACAGTCTGCCTCAGGCCACACTCATTACTCTAGTCCAGGGTCTAGTCATCTCACTCATCCGTTACAGCATCTGTGTGTACGTAACATGTAATGCTACTCAAACATCACGACCGCAGAAGCTGCTGAACTTCGCGGCACGAGTCATCTCTGGGCGTCGGAAATATGATTATGTGAGCGATGTTTTACGAGATCTCGAGTGGATGTCTGCTGACAACATGTTCTTATATCATACACTGACGCTTCTGAAACGTATCCTGGAAAGATCCCAGCCGGTGTCGCTATCTGATCATCTTATCCGAAGACGCCACGTTCACCATCGACCCTATCAACGCTATGTTGCCAACTGGTAAGTCTTGCTTATTTCTTTGCATTAGTATTTTCAACAAAGGCCTTCATCCCTTTGATTTGGTATGATATATCGTAGGCCGCATACGTCAATGTTTACTGCTGGCGTTCTGATGGTGCTTTCCAGGAACTTTTCAACCCCGTCTTCCTCCTTGTCGAAGCATGGTTGGTTTGTGAGATGACAAGAGGGGCTGACAAGTACTAAACTCACCCCATCACCTGATTTGACCTGTCACAGGTAATATTCCGAGAATCTTCCATTGTCCATTTTTGCATTCCCCTACCTTGTTTAGTTTCCGAGAAATATGGCCTTGAGCCCTATTTCATAGGGCGAGGGTTAAGGTAAGTTAAGGTGTCTCCTTAACTGTGCTGTGTATCATACATTGTTCAGTGTTCAGTGTTCGGTGTATTATCTTGATAGTATTTACACGCGATCTAATAATGCCAAGCTGTTTTTACGTCAGATCACGAACAGGTGTTCCCGTTCTCAAAGCTACGGGTCACAAATATATAAAGAATCGACGCTCCGTATTACATAGTTGGCCATCTGTCCAATGTACCTTCTGGTTTATGGAGAGACTTCGATGGAGACCTGGAGCGGTCATACATATGCTGAGAATCGTCGATGTTCTTAATCTTTGCAGGGGTTATTTGGGGACATCATGTCAAATCTTGATTAAATCGGGATCATTGATCATATCATGTCACATCTAGAAGCTAACCTTAAATTAGCATATAAAACGGTGTGCCATGAACCTAAATGCCTGGTATGTGTCGACGGCAATGTCAGGGTCACTTAAGGTCACGAATTGACCTCGAATCACTTTGTAACCAGCTGTGATCTGCATGCATGTGACGTAAATGACAGGATGGCAAAGAGGCTATTGGACTTTGTGGGCCGGCTCTGACAGCTCAACTGAAGGATCTGAATTTTAATGACCTTGAAATTTTACGTCAACAAAATTATTTGCAAGGAAGAGCTTTAGATCACGCATAGTGCGGTCATCGTTCTGTCCGTTTTATTTTGATTTTATAGTAGGTCGGGAACGAAGCCGACAGGATGTTTCGTGCCACTCGCACACTGCGGGGTTTGGCGAAACTGGCGAAGGTCTCGGCCATTAACGGTTTTCAACACTGGGCTGGATATCGCATTTGGTGGATGCAAGCCTTTCCTACGTGACTGTTCTGTGGTTTATATATGACTGATCGGGCCCATCAAGACGGTGATGGTAATATCACCGCGGAAGTTCACAAAACCACATGAGGCTGAGCGCATCCGGGTCCTAACTGTTTTGATTGCACCAGGCAATTGATGGGTCGATGACGCCAGGGATTCTAAACAGAGTCAGGCCGGCGGTTCGCCTGTTGTGAACCGCATGTGCCGGGAAATACCCTGTAATATCGGTAAAGCATTGAGGTATTACGCTTCCTTAGCTCGCGCCGTCTTGCATCATACATGAGCTCTACACAGTAATGGGCAGAAAAACACGCAGTTTCGGGGGTAGAATGTCAGATGTCCTAGAACGCACAGGCCTTTTGCTTTCCTTTTTTAATTTCCATCCCCAAAATGTGCAATGGTTTCCATGCGTCACGGGAAGCAAGAGACGGGGAGTGAAACAGATCCAGATCATAGGAGACTGTAAAGCTCCAACAGAGAGCTCCCAGAACAGAGACAGTGCACACCATTGTGGATGTAATTACTAGAGGGGAAAGCAGAGCAGAGAGAGGACTGCCTGGGCATATATCACGCCATTTACCAAAATAGCCTTTCGTCCGCGCACTTTGAGACACAAGATACGCTTGTCTCGGAATTTCCTGTTCGTTACGTTACTTTAGGCCAATTTGTCGCCTCCAGGTTCTGATGTGTCCGCATTCCACATTTGTGAAATGTAGTTAGCCCACGCACGTCACACCCGCCGAAGGGCGATTTGCCGACTTTTTATTTCTGCCGTTGCTATCTGTCATTGGGGCAGCGAGATTGCGCAGCAATGCCAACTCATGTATTTCTCCAGCACTGCAGAGAGGATATTCCGATAGCTTCACAACAGCCCCATACACACAAGTACAGCGTGCCCAGCGCAAAATAATCACATCACATTGCCACCACACGTGTGAACATCTGTTCTTTGTACGGGTCACCGCCAGTACTGTACAAAAACCGCTATCACAATATCGCATCCAGTGAAGCTGTTCTGACCACCATCGGACTTCCGCCGTGCGCTCCGCCAAAAGTTCGGAAAGGTAACGTCTCGGGTGAGAGCCGTGGCGGCCCTGGAATCAGGACTCGCAACGGAATCTGGAGTCTGGAGTACGGCGACTGTCGAGGTCACTTCGAAATCCGGATTCCGGAGTACAGCGACTGTCGAGGACACTTCAGAATCCGGAGTCCGGAGTAGGGCAACTGTCGAGGCCACTTCAAGTCAACCCCTGCCAGCTGCGTTCCCACTCGAGCAGTCCATGAGCCTGGGCTTTCACTTGAACAGAATCCGCCGGAACGCCCGCCTGAAGTCCTTGTTAAATATGGTGTAGATGACCGGGTTCAGCGCCGAGTTGATGTAGCCCAGCCAGAAGGCGAAGTCGAAGCCCCAGTCGGCTACGTGACAGCTCTGGCAGAGTGGCTTCAGCACGTACAGGAAGAAGAAGGGCAGCCAGCAAGCGATAAACGAGCCCATGATGAGCCCCAGGATGAGTGTTGCGCGCTTCTCCTTTTTGCGCGCCAGCCGGCGCTTATCACGATCCGGGTCGCGACCAATGCGGCTGGACGTGCCCCTCAGCACCTTCAGCCGGCCCATGTCGATCATCTCTCGCTTCGCCTTGGACGACCTCTTGTTCCACATGGGAGTGCAGAAGTGCCGCTTCAGCGGCCGGATTACGGTGCACTTGACGATCTGACCCGACCCGATCTGACCCGACCCGGACGACGACGGGTCCGCGTCCGACTCGCGGCACGGCGTCCGACGCGCGGCCAGTGCGCCATTTGTTTCCGGCGCGCCGGTGCTCGCCACGCTTCGCTCGGCGCACGCCGTGCGGCTCACCGCGGAGCGGCAGCTGTCAGTGGCGCCGCCCTGCGGTGGACGATCGCACTTGAAGGTGTCTGGGTCGCCGCCGAGCGGCTCGTGCACCTCGGCGGTGGTGAGCGCCGTGGTGGAGACGGGGGCAGCGCGTGGACGCCGCTTCACGTACCGGCGCGCCCGGCTGCGAGCTGCGAAGTAGATCCGGATGTAGACGAAGATCATGATGATGGAGGGGATGTAGAAGCTGCCCAGCGCCGAGTACAGCACGTAGCCCACGTCGGCGGAGAGCTGCAACAGACGAGAACCGGGGTAAGTGATTGAAGTGATTGGCCAGTGCAGCGGACAGGACATGTTACCCTGGCGATCGATGTGGCTTTGGTTTACATACTCTGTGCATCACGCATTGGCTCTAGCGTTGCGGTGTCCAAATTTCGAGCGAGATTCATACCGTCTCCCAACAATTTCTGGAGCGCCATCGCCATTAGAAGCCTGTGAACTCGTCCACCTTCTGAAGGACGTGCGTGAGACGCAGGTGAGGCGTGGCAAAAAGGATCAGCATCCCGGCTGCCCGGAAACAGGATGCTAATTAAAGCCTTAGAACCAACGGCATCATCATTTGCACGAAACGCAAATCAAAATCCGTCCTGAGGAGCTATACGTTCCAGTTCGCTCCCCCCACGGTATCCGCTGGTCAGTGTCCACGGTCGTCACCGTTCAGTCATGCGGAAAATAGCGTGGGTCACTGCCTCAGCGTGGCCTGGGCAGCCTTCAAAGCCGATCAAGACTGGTCGCTGTCGGTGAAAGGGTCGTCCCGCAGCCGCTCCATACAGGTTTCAATCGGTGCTATGAATGACTCAGTCTGGCTTCCCACTAGCATCTCTTCCACTCCATCAAAAGTGGTTTGTCCGCCACCTTAGGTGCCGTTACTGTTTACAGACATTCTCTCACTTTGTCCGTCAGTCTGTCTTCATATCTCCAGGTAAGGTCAGATTTGACAACGGACCTCAGAGTGACGCGTTCTGAATGCTAAGTCTAGGAACAATGATCTGAAAACTAGTCCCAAGGATCGAAAGTCTGTACTTTGCATGTCTGATCAGGGAACCCTCGTGGCTATCGCGATGCATGAGGAGCCGCCGCACATTTCTAGACGTGCGATTTCAAAGACACTTGACCGTCCAGAAAAGTAAAACAATGATTGTGCTTCTCCAGAAACATCACGTATGTCATGTAAACGTGCTACCATGCGCAACATGAACCTCCACGCCGCCAAAAGCGATTTGACCGACATTCATTGGTATTATTATTGTTCCGATACATTGATCTTGCCTGAACCGAACTTCCTGCTGATGAAGTGCTAGTTTCCATCTGATATTTTTGTCAGTGATCGGCTACTGTTGGTTTGCTTTGGTTTGCATTCCGGCCCTTCTGTAGAGAATAGGTCATTTCAGGGCTATAAGAAAAAGAGATGTGAGTGGTGGGGGAAGACTACGGTCACCAGGGAGATCTCCGCTATTGAATCTTACCCCGTGCAACAACATTTCTAAGAGGCTCGTAACGGCGCTCGGACACGGCTCTTACCAGAACGGCACTTAACCTGGCATCACATTCGACTGCAGCACGCACCAGAGAGACAAAGGGTCACAATAAAGCGATGGGCGATGAAAGAAGGACCTATACTCGGCTGCATCCCTGCCTTGTACTGCGTTGTACTCGTTTTGAGATCATCGCGCCGCGTTTTCTCTATAGCTTTCATTGTGATCGTTCTTCCATAGTAATTGCTATTTCTATTTGTCCACGTGGTACGGCTTCTGAAAGCATCCATATCAGCTCCTCCATACATGGACGCTGGGAAACGGATATGTCCGCATCTCTCCGCGCGCTGACGCGGTGTGTATTCCTGCTGCTACCCTACGAAGCGATCCCTCGACCGAACCACGCCCATTGTCCAACAACGCAAGTCCTACTCATTTTCATAACGGTCCAGGGCTATCTGAGCACCCCTCCCCTCCCGCCTCGGGCTGAATGGCGCGCCAGTTATTGCGCGCGCCGAGGAACGCCCTCGATATGAGCGCTTCGCATCTCGATGAACAGACGGCAGAGCCGGCCTTAAGAGCTGCAGCCTCCTGGTGAAACCCACAGGTGATGATGATGTTTGGTTTTTCGGTTGCGTCTACTACAGCGGTCATTTTGCGTCCACTAATGTGTCACAAACCTTTCAGGTCTTGGGTTCGTACCAGTGTTGCACGCCTAGGACGCTGATTCGTCACACCTGAGCAGGGTACATTTGAGCTCGCGTCGCACAGCGATTGCACGGGAGAAGGACTATTTTGAGGTATATATGCTTCGTAGATTCTAAACCCATCTCGGTGTGGCAGCTCCGATTCTCGTCAGTGAGGAAGCACAGAGACAGTCCCCGCAAAGCGTGGAGCTAGAATAGCGCCTGCGTTCAGCTTCCAGGTGGCGACGCTGAACGAGTACGTGCGCAGCCGACAGCCGGTGATCGCAGTGCGGGTACGTTGGTGGTTGACCTCCAGACAGAAGATAGTTGTTGGTTTCTTAAGTATGGCATTTGCAGAGGTAAGAAAGGCCGAATCTCTTGCCTGCTGTTTCGGTGGGAAGATACCCAACCACACACCTTATGTTTTACTGGCCTGAGTTTGGTATGCATATTTTGGCATAAACAAACGGATGTACCCTGTAAAATCGTTTATCTATGGCAAGCCAAGGTCAGGCCGTGGCTGTCAGCGAAGTCCATTTCTAGGAAATCGTTTCATCTGATGTGACAACGGAGAGTTAGACGAAGCCATACATTTTTTAGATAGTTTCTTAGGCAGCAAACCAATTGAATTTAGTATTAAAACAAGGGTCATTGACCTAGGGTCAGGTTTCAACACCACACCGAGGCCAACACCGACATGCCTTTTTCACCCTAGAACTTGATTTAAAGGGCAGTTTTTGGTGCTCATTTCAAGCTTATTACCGACAGGGATCGCAACAGACATGTTCCATGAATATTTGAAAGACCGAAGTAAGTCACTGACTTAAAATGACGCAGGTCAACATTTTAAAAAAAACATGCCACCTAGCGTAATTTCTGACGCTTATTAGGATGCCCAAATAAGAACAATCTGGTAGGTTTCGATCACTTCGACCTTCTAAAGATCAAAACAAGGCAACTTACCACATATTAACACCATTCACCTTTTGCTTTGAACAGGTATCTATGTTCACGGCGGTTGCGTGAGAAGGTCGGGGACATTTAAAACACCAGTTTAGAGTTTGACTTTGTTTGACCTTATTTGACCTTGTGATCATTACCTATGATATTTGAGTTCGTTCAAATGTAAGTTTGCATGCACACTAACCAAACCTGTACATTTCATGCATCAGCTATCTTAGTTTCCGAGATCTCAGGGGTATCAAATTTCCCCCCATCCCACCCAAGCGAAGCATATTCAACCGTCCACCTGGGCGCGTGTTTAAGTGAGAACACCTCGTGTAAGCCTTGGTCGGTTAAAGCAGTACCTGTGGGTGGCGGAGTTGGGATGAGCGACAAGGAACAGACGACCGAATGCCCCGCGGTCACGGTGACCCTGTCATCATATTATCATAGCGAAACCCTTGGAAGTGTCAGAAGGGGTCTTCTCGCCGAACCGTCCGTTAATCCCCTAGAACATAAAACATAGATTGGCCTGATAATATATATATATATATATATATATATATATATATATATATATATATATATATATATGTATACGTCCCTTTCTCTCTCTCTACCTCTCTCTCTCTCTCTCTCTCTCTCTCTCTCTCTCTCTCTCTCTCTCTCCCTCTCTCTCTCTCTCTCTCTCTCCTCTCTCTCTCTCTCTCTCTCTCTCTCTCTCTCTCCCGCGATCTTACCCGGCCAGCAGCTGGCCGGCTTTGAGGCCGTTTCCATCTGATGGCCGTTTTCTCCCGCGGTGGCCGTTTTTTGCCCGGCGGACGGTGAGAGGAGCGTGCTCCGGACAGGCGCCGGCAACCGTCAGGATCAATTGAGAACGCGGCCGTCGGCCCCCCTCCCCCCCCCCCCCGACTCATCTGGAAAGTGGGCCGGACGTGGGGCTCGGCAGCCTGGCACCGCTGTAGTGTGTTTAGCTCACCTTCCCCCACACGGTTATTTACAGCCTGTTAGGTGGCAGCCCAGCGGGCTGGCTCTCTGTCCACAACACAAAACGGGAGCCATGCCATTCGCATTGGCAGCTCTCGGCGCTGGCGTCTCGTAGCCGCGTGTCAAGTTCCCGGCGCCACGCAGCTCCAAGGACCAGATGATCGGTGGTTCTCAGTCAAACAGTCCAGATGATCGGGCGTTCTCAGTCAAGCAGTCCAGATGATCGACGATTCTCAGTCAAACAGACCAGGTGATCGGCCATTCTCAGTCTGACTTTCCCCCTCCACAGTCGTGTGGTTTGAGGACCCTTCTCTCCTTCAAACGCATGGAAAATGTTTGTTGCTTACGACCTCGCGCTGGACACTCGACTGTTGTGAGTCCGGCCATCGCCATTCACAGTGCAGCGCAGCGGCCTGTCAGCACTGTGTGCTCGTCGCTGCGTCCGCGTGATTGCCGGTGTTCGGATTTTACGCTGGCTCTCAGACAATTTTTTCCTTTATTCGTTGATGAACCTTTTCCTCGATGGCGTGGCCTGCGGGCGAGCTGCGGTCCGGCCCAGACGCGTGTCGGAGTGCGACTGCCGCTTCACCTCGGCCTCGGGTCACAACCTACGGGCGCTGCCAGGGGCGCCGGCGGCGGCGGCTCTGGCCAGACCGCGACGCACGCAGACGGTGTGGCGGCGCGCGCTCGCTATACTGGTGCACCTGCGCTGCTGCCAGACCACAGCGGGCCTTGGAAGGTGGGCGCCTCGGCCGACCCGCGCGGATGGTGTGATGGCGCGCGCTCGCTATACTGGTGCACCTGCGCTGCTGCCAGACCACAGCGGGCCTTGGAAGGTGGGCGCCTCGGCCGACCCGCGCGGATGGTGTGATGGCGCGCGCTCACTATACTGGTGCACCTGCGCTGCTGCCAGACCACAGCGGGCCTTGGAAGGTGGGCGCCTCGGCCGACCCGCGCGGATGGTGTGATGGCGCGCGCTCACTATACTGGTGCACCTGCGCTGCTGCCGGACCACAGCGGGCCTTGGAAGGTGGGCGTCTCGCCGGCACGCAGCTGATGCATCGGCGCGCGAGGCGCGACTTTGTTCGATGACTATCGCAGACGGGTGCCCATCCGTTAGTCGGTCGGCGCTGTCGCGTCG